GAGAGAGAAAGAAAGAGGGGACAAATAATAAAACAGAGTTTGTTTAAAGAATGTACTTGTCTTTTCAAAGGAATGGGTTTGAAAATTGACGTGAAAGGAAAGAGATCTTCGGCATCTAATTGAAGGAAACTAACAACAACAAACAAAGATATTAATAATAAAATTAAAAAAATTTAACAATTATTTCTTACGTTAGTGATCTCTCTGTGAGAGGAGGGTTGCAGCAGCTGGAACTAAAAAAGAATTAAAATTTAAAAACAAACAGCCTGTGCATGTACAATACAGTGGATATATACCTTAGGGCTTCTAGCCCGTCTCTTAGCTGAGTTGGATCAATTTCATCCTATGGAGATAAAGAGATAGTCATTGAGCAGTTACATGTAACTATATATATATATATATATATATATATATATATACACAGTATAATGTAGTTGCTAACTTCTTTTGCTTGTTCCCACAGCTGATTCTCTTGGCTATTAATCTATTTTTATAATAAACCAGCATTTAAACATATTAGTACAGATGGACACACCTCTAAAAGCGGCAGTGTGAATTTAAAATAAGGTCTGACAGTTTTATAGATGTATACATAAGTGTTGGACGCTACAGCGATGGCCGGCTCGTTGGTATCCATCATGAAAGCAATGACACCAGTCGGTAGATCAAGTAGAGGAATCTCGTGTGATACTTGTGTGCCTTTAATTAGAATAAGGTAAGCGTACATTACCATTGACAATTAACCTTTAAATATTTTTAGTTTCATGTCGTGTTGTCCACTGGCCAAATCTCCGATCAAAAGCTACAGAAGTAAAACTACATTTTAGAATAATAAATAGCTACTTTGTGATCTCCATCTCCGTCAAGGTCTTTCAAGTCTAAAAATGTAATAATAATAATAATAATAATATAAATGACAGTGTTTAGAACTTCAGATTCTCTACCTATACAAGATGTGAAGGTGTAGAGTGAAGCCACGGGGTCATGGTGAGCGTTAATCCAAGCACCTTCACCAGAAACCTCTGAACTTTGTCGCCTGTCTCTTTTCACCTTTTCTTTGCTTTCACTCCTCTCTGTCACACTATCCGCCATCTTGTATTCCAATAAGGGGTTAAAATTATATGGGCGTGGTTAATAAAATGGCGACTAAAAACTTTAAAATTTAGAAATAACAATAATAATAATAAATAAAAGAATTTAAATAATAGGCTACATGTATGTCTGTGAGAAGTGTGTAAGTCAATTAATAAAATCGTCGGTAAAATCAAACAATTGTCGGCCATTAACGGATGGTCCCCCTCCTCTAATAGGAGTCTCTGTTGATAATAACGAGTGCTTCACTGACGGCAGCTGATAACACGTTCTACATACAGCCATGTACTTATCAGCTCCTCCTATCACCTCAATCTACAATAATAACATTTAATATTATTATTATTATCATCATTATCATTTATTATCAATATTGTATGAGGATCTACTCTAGTGACTATTTTAGGGTAGCATAAATTAAAGAAATTAATTCTAGGATACATGTACTTTGCATTAACCATAACAAGAGTACATGAGAGGTTCATGTACTCTTGACAATAAGAAGTCAATCATCATAACAATGAGACGTACTTCCTTTTCTGAGCCCAGTCTCTTAGTAAATGCTGCATCGTTAAAACACATCATACAGACAGCTTTAAGCTTCACTACTGACTCCGCCATTGGGATAAGATTAAGTACTGAACCAAATGCCTTTTAGTAAAGGGTAGTGATAATGATAATGCATGATGATGTGGTTTAGTTACTTTTCTTTGAAAGGTCCCGTCTAGTGCCGCTACGATGACAGTCTTACCAGCATTTGCCATGTCTTCGCAAAACTCAACAAGATCAGGAAACTAAATAAATAAATAATAATAATTTTGTTGCATAATATTCAGCACAATCTTATTTGTATAAAGGCTTCAAAAAAATTGTAAAATTATAGCCCAAAATCCAATTAGTGTTAAAAGAGCTAAAGCCAGTTCAAGAGACCGTGGATAGACTTACAAATTGTCCCTCATCAATTCCAATGACACCATAGTCACCGACTGTCTTCTTCAACTCGTATAACTTAGTAGCGGCCATTGCAGAACTGACTTGTCTAATAAAAAAGATTAAAATATTTTTTTAATTTTCTTTTACTCTCACTTGTCGTGTGTTGCTACCCCATTCTTGTCGTAACGATCATCTTTTGAGTACTTGATGATGAGGCAGGACTGATTGGCTACTTGATACCGTCTCATTCTCCTCATTAACTCTGTACTGCAAAGGAAAAGAGAACAGGTAAATAAATAGGAAGATTTGATGTGCATTTTACGTTTTTCCAGAAAACATTGGACCCAGAATGACCTGTTAGAGGACTCGTGTAAAATTGAAGCATAAATGAATGGGTTTACCTGTATCTGCCCCTTGCTGAGAGCACCACTGATGCAAGAGAAACCAGACGAAACGCAAGACATTGTGCAGTGAGAAGTTAGAGAAACAGTAAGCCCTTCACTTTTCAGTAAGATTTGGCGCCTTTTCCGAACCGCCAAAATTAAGACACTCCTTAAAGGGAGTGGCTAACCACACCCTTTTGCTGCACTTTCAGCCCCACCCATAAATGTTGCTAGGGGCAACAGAGAAATAATGTCTGAAGTGAAGTTGGATAATGGACAAGAAGAAGGGAAAGAGGCCATGGAAAATGAAAATGCAGGCACTGGAGCTGTCACTGATGAAGATACAAAAACTGTAGCTGAAGCAACTGAAGATAAACAGATTGATGAGGCTAAACCAGCAGAACAAACTGACCAGCCCACACCTCTTGATGGAGAAGAAGGAGGCATTGAGAGACAGACTGTTGATTTAAGTGATAAAATGCAAGGAGAAGGAAAGGATGAATCAGATGCAGCTAAAACAGAAGATGAAAGCTCAAAGGAAACTGAGACAAAAGAAAATAAAGAAGGTGAGAAAGAGCAGCTTGATGGCGCTAGTGAAGAAACTGACAGGAAGGAAGAAGAGGAAATTACAAATAAACCAGAAGAGGAAGTTGAAGCCACTGGTGACACTATAAATAAAACAGAAGAAGTTGAGGGAGAAACTGTAAAAAGTAGTGAAGAGATGCAAGAAGAGACACCAAGAGTCCCTTCAATAATAGTGATGAATGAAGAAGGGCAAGAAATGGTAAAGAAGTACAATTACTACTACTACTAAGTGACTCTGTTTAATTTCATTATCATTAGGAGGAGGAGCAGGAGAAACTTGATGAGATTGATGAAGAAGAAGATGATGAAGAAGAGGAGGAGGAAGAGGAGGAAGAATTTGACTTAAATGAAGCAATTGAAACTTATAAAGTAAAAAACAACTAAAATGCAGCATTGGTGAATTGCAGCTATTTTGCTGCTGCATGTACTGTAGTATACTATAGTTTGCAGCTATAGTATCATTGTAGCATAAATGCACATATTTTTTTTCCTTCAGAAATTGTTAGGTAGCATTGAAAAGCTACAGCAGACTCACCATCAACTCCAGCACAAGATAGCAGAATACTTAGCAAGGAAGGTAGGCCCTAATATGCTCATTACACAATCAATGGTGCATGTTTTATCATATTAGCAGCAGCTAGAGTCAAAGCATGATTCTGAACGTGACTCATCAGATCAAGAGCAAAGATATCAGAAATGTCTTGGTAATGATACTAATAATAGATTACAGACACTGCTGGATGCATTTAAATGTATATTGTGATTGATTCATGTAGAGGGACTGGATGAGATACAGCATGAGTTGTCCGAGAAGCAAAAAGAGTTTGAAATGGAAGATGCGGAGCTCATGGACGCTTGTGAAATTAAGAAAGGACAAGTATCACAAGCAAGGTACACTTTAATGAAAGTATTATTGTTTATTATTATTATTAATAGAAATGAATTTGTTGAATTAGTTAAAGGACATGCTTCAACGTGTATCAGAGGAAAAAAACTAAGTATAATCTCAGACTACCTTAACACATTAGAAAAGAAAGATGGAGAGGTGACTCAGGTAAGAGAAATGAAATAAACCTTTGCCTATTGTAGTCTCTTTAACTTCAAAGGTAAGATTAGAGAACATAACGCTACAGAGCAGAATCCAGAAAATTGACAGTCTAATCAAGCAAAAGGTAACAAGAGCTGTCCGTTATGCTTTGAAGTGGAACTTGCAAATATACATAGGAGCAACTAGCTGAAGGACTTCACATGATTGATTTCGAGCAGCTACGCATCAACAATGCCGACCTCAATGATAAAATAGAGGAAAGAAATGAGGAGATAATGAAACTAAAGAAAAAGATAACATCCACCATACAAGTATTGGCACACCTCAAGGAAAAACTTCAATTCCTACAAGCTGAAAATGCTGTCAAGAAATCGCTACTCAAAGACGTAGACAAACAAGTAGCAAAAGTAAAATAAGAAAACATTGCTATCCTCTTTTTAGTTTTGTCTGTAGAAACGAGACTTTTTGACTAGACTCAAGCAAGCTAAAGATAGTGTTAGGGCAGAAAACAATAGTCTCAAACAGCAAGGAGGACTAGTTGGATATCACACTCTGCTGAGAGATTTTGAAAACAAACAAGATCAAGTGAGAGAGAAATGTAAAAGATTGTCAATGCACTTTTCTTTAACTGCAGAGCGAGAAAATGAAGAGTGATTTAGAAAGGTTGCAGCAGAGGCACTCGAATCTCATCTTACAATGCAACACTTTAAGACAAAGAATCGATCAAACAAAATTATTGCAAACACAATAAATAATAAATAAACATGCACAACACTGAGCGATAATAATGTAATAGTAATCAATAATAATAATTAATAATGAAGTGGTGATAAAATGTTAATAATTATGGTATGTCTAATGAGACATCATGACATGTTCTGCATAGTTTCTAATAGTGAAGCCTCAACTTCTTCCCAGTAACTTTGACAGGAATTTCTTAATCTATCTGTCTCTTTCCGCTAATTATATGAAATAATAAAAATTGTGATTTTGCAATCATTTTTCAGAAAAAAGCATGAGCTATACATGTAGTATCAGAAAATGGCAATTTATGGAGAATCTTTCTACATAACATAAGGACATTAATATGCATCAGAAAATGTAATAAAAATTTGGGGTGATTTTGAAGCCATTTATTGGAAGAAAATCATAATCATTAAGATTAGACATAATGCAATGAAGAAGGTACAGTGCACAGTAAGCATACCACATAACATTTAATTGCCTCCTTCTCCATTTCTATCACGTCTCCTACAGTTATCTTATAAGGATCCTTTGCCTTCTTTAAATAATAACAGTTAGGACTGTGTGCACAATGCTCCTCCCTACATATGGGCGTGGCATGTTGTTATAATCAAAGGGGTGTGGTCAAAAACATAAACTAAGATACCATGGATCGTCTGTTTCTTCCCATCCATCCATTTCATGATGGCACACAATGCATCGGACCCAGTCTGGAGTAGAGGATGTACCACAAAAGTAGAAACCAGCTTCTGCCATCTACAACAACATAAGACAAATAAATGTACATAGCTTATAATGTCACAGTCCACCTTCAATGGAGTGCATTTCCCTGTTTCATACGGCCAATATGATCCTTTAAATGTTTCTAATCTCTGCTCCACTGTGTAAAAGGATCCTTCGAATATACTAACACTTTCTTCCTGAGTTTCCTCGTCTCTAGTTTCTTCAGCTTCCGCCATTTTTTCAAAAATTTGTTAACTAATTTTAATAAAAATAGTTAATTAATTAGCCCCACCCTTGCTGCAGATATGGCTGTGTTCATGTCTTTTTGCCTTCTCCTCCTGTTCCTTAACCAATCTCTAGCTCTTGACAATGGTCTTGGCCTAACTCCACAGATGGGATGGAACTCCTGGAATCACTTCCACTGCAATGTAAGCCAAGATCTTATTAAAGCAACTGCAAAAGCTATGATAGACAAAGGCCTGGACAAACATGGCTACCAATATGTTAACATTGATAACTGCTGGGCTGCCAGCAGTCGTGCTTCAGATGGTAGTATAAGGTCCGATCCAGTTACATTTCCTGATATGAAAGGATTGATTGATTATGTTCACAGCCTAGGCCTCAAGTTTGGCCTGTACAGTGATGCTGGTACCAAAACCTGTGCTGACCATCAGCCTGGTTCTCTAGGCCATGAGACACAAGATGCAAACACATATGCACAGTGGGGAGTAGACTATCTTAAATATGATAATTGCAATAGCGGAGGGAGCAAGCCTGAAGTACGCTATCCTGTCATGAGGGATGCACTCAATAAAACTGGACGACCTATTTTCTTTTCAATGTGTGAATGGGGAGTAGATAATCCAGCAACATGGGCATCTAGAGTTGGTAATAGTTGGAGGACCACTGGGGATATTAAGGATAATTGGAAAAGGTAGGTACACATCTGAACTGTAATTCTAATTTCATTAAAAGTATGATATCACGTGCTGATCAAAATGCTGGTCTTTGGTCTTATGCTGGTCCTGGGGGTTGGAATGATCCAGATATGCTGAAG